GGGTCAAAATTGGCCCCGCCCCAGGGGGTCATTGATTTTCCCTAGATGCATATAGTAAAAACTTAAAAATTCTTCTTTTAAAGAACCCAAAGAGCTAGAGCTAAGATATTTAGCATGAAACATCTTCTAATGAGTGTCTACCAAGTTCGTTCAAATAAAAGCCCTGGGGTCAAAATTGGCCCCGCCCCAGGGTGTCATTGATTTTCCCCTTATATATGCATATAGTAAAAACTTAAAAAATCTTTTTTTAAAGAACCCAAGGAGCTAGAGCTAAGATATTTAGCATGAAACATCTTCTAATGAATGTCTACCAAGTTTGTTCAAATAAAAGCCCTGGGGTCAAAATTGGCCCCGCCCCAGGGGGTCATTGATTTTCCCTATATGCATATAGTGAAAATTTAAAAATCTTCTTTTAAAGAACTCATGGAGCTAGAGCTAAGATATTTAGCATGAAACATGTTCTAATGGGTGTCTACCAAGTTTGTTCAAATAATAGTCCTGGGGTCAAAATTGGCCCTGCCCCGGGGGTCATTGATTTCCCTTATATATGTGTATAGCAAAAACTTAAAAAGTGTTCTTTGAAAAAATCTAAATAGCTAGAGTTAAGATATTAAGCATGAAATATCTTCTAGTGAGTGTCTACAAAGTTTCTTCAAATTAAAGCCCTGGGTTCAAAATTGGCCCTGCCCCGGGGGTCATTGATTTTCCTTATATGTGTATAGGAAAAACTTAAAAAACATCTTTGAAAAAACCCAAATAGCTAGAGTTTAGATATTAAGCATGAAACATGTTCTAGTAAGTGTCTACAAAGTTTGTTCAAATAAAAGCTCTGGGGTCAAAACTGGCCCCGCCCAAGTGGTATCATTGTTTTTAACTATAAGTGTATAGTAAAAACTTAAAAAATCTTCTTTAAAAAAACACAATGAGCTACAGCTTAGATGTTTAGCATGAAACATCTTCTTATGGGTGTCTACCAAGTTTGTTCAAATAAAAGCCCTTGGTTAAAATTGGCCCTGCCAGGGGTAGGGGAGGGCAGATCATTGTTTTTCATTATAAGTGTGTACATCATGAAAAATCTTCTTAAAGGTGTCTTCCAAGTTTGTTCAAATAAAAGCCCTGGGGTTTAAACTGGCCCCGCTCCGGGGGCCTACATACAGGTGAGCGACCTTAGGGCCATCATGGCCCTCTTGTTTGAGTTATTGCCCTTTGTTATTTTTCATACTAAATTTTTCACCTGAGTGGAGCATATCTCAAAAAGTTTTAGAGGTAACACCTTGAAACTTCATAAGGGATAGACCTCATTGAGGAGGAGTGCTGCACACAAGAGTGATAACCGAGCGTGCATTATTTTTCAGTTATTGCCCTTTGTTATTTTTCATACTAAATTTTTGTCCAGAGTATAACTACAAAAGCCTTTGAGATATCAACATGAAACTTCATATATAGATAGATCTCACTCAGGAGGTGTTCAGTGCATAAGGGTGATAACTCTACCCTTCATAATTTTTGAGTTATTGCCCTTTTTTATTTTTCATACTAAATTTTTCACCTGAGTGGAGCATATCTCTAAAAAAGCTTTTGAAATGTCAATATGAAACTTCATAGGTGGATATATCTTATTAAGGAGGAATGTTGTGCACAAGAATGTTAACTCTACCCTTTATAATTTTTGAGTTATTGACATTTGTTATTTTTCATACTTTTTGTCCGGAGCTTATCTCAAAAGTGTAAGAGAGAATAACTTGAAACTTCATAGGTGGATAGATCTCACTGAGGAGGATTGCAGCACGCAAGAATGATAACCTACCGTGCATTGTTTTTCAGTTATTGCCCTTTGTTATTTTTCATACTTAATTTTTGTCCCTGAGTATAACTACAAAGGCCTTTGAAATATAACATGAACAATCATAGGTGGATAGATCTTACTCAGGAGGTGATAACTCTACCCTTCATATTTTTGAGTTATTGCCCTTTGTTATTTTTCATACTAAATTTTTCACCTGAGTGGAGCATATTTCTAAAAAAGCTTGTGAAATGTCAACATGAAACAGGTGGATAAATCTTATTAAGGAGGAATGTTGTGCACAAAAATGATAACTTTACCCATTATAATTTTTGAGTTATAGCCCTCTGTTATGATAACTTTACCCATTATAATTTTTGAGTTATAGCCCTCTGTTATTTTTCATACTTTTTGTCCGGAGCTTATTTCAAAATTTGTTACAACTTCAACAAAAGCCATTGAAATATCAACATGAAACTTCATAGGTAGATAGATCTCACTCAGGAGGTGTGCAGTGCAAAAGAGTGATGACTCTATCCTTCATAGTTTTTTAGTGATTGCCCTTTGTACTTTTTCATACTTAATTTTTCACCTGAGTGGAGCATAACTCAAAAGGTCTTTGAGATGTCAACATGAAACTTCATTGGTGGATTGATTTTATTGAGGAGGAATGTTGTGCGCAAGAATGATACCCTTTATAATTTTAGAGTTATTGCCCTTTGTTATTTTTCAAACTTTTTTGTCCGGAGCTTATTTCAAACAGTGTTAGAGGTATTAACGTGAAACTTCATAGGTGGATAAATCTCATTGAGGAGGAGTGCGGCACACACCTACCGTGCATTATTTTTCAGGTATTGCCCTTTGTTACTTTTCATACTTAATTTCGTCCAGAGCATAACTACAAAAGCCTTTGAGATATCAACATGAAACTTCATATGTGGATAGATCTCACTCAAGAGGTATGCAGTACACAAGAATGATAAATTATTCTGCTCTACTACATATGCATGGCTCTTGTAACAAGTTACATTACAATACTTAAAAACCTTCTTAACAAGTTAACCTGTCAATTAAACTCAATGCTATTTGGAGATACCTTAATATTATACTTATAACTGTTTTTTTTTTTTTTTTTTTTTTTTTTTTTTTTTTTTCGCCGTGACAATCACATTGCTGCATTTCCCAGCAATTTTTTACTTGTTTCACAGTAGGTTCTCACCAAAACAGTTGACAGCACGCATATTTATACAGACATTTATTTGGTATGCCTTATTGGATCTAAAACCATATTGACAAATATTGTCATAATAATATTGTTAAGATTGAACCTGTACACAAATGTTCAAACAATATTTTGAAGTTTAAGGTCATCAATTTCAGTAATTGTAAAGTTTGATTCTTTTACGCAAGCAGATGTTTTAGTGATGGAAGAGGTTAAAGGTTGTTTACAAAGTTGCATACATACCTTTAACCAAAGTATAACACACATGAAAACACACAGGTGAGTTGAATACTCCTCACTATTTTACGAATAGCTAAACTAATTATTGACACTTCTAAAATGAATACACATTACTCAATACAATGACAATGTTCTTGTCGTATTCAAGTGTTTGTCTATAATCCTTTTACCGCCTTCAAAATGTAACTTAATTAGATTTGGTATAAATCACATAATCATCTAGTTTAAAATAGTGATGTTGCATATGATTAAAAACATTATTATATATACCATTATTTTTATTTACAATAACTAACCTTTACACAATGTTACTTTACTAATTAAATCCATTGTGCTAAATAAACAAGCGTATCTATTCATATAATCTATTTATAATTAATAATAAGTGCTTGGTAATTTACTTTTCAGGATATATTATACCTTTTTGCAAGTAGGTCATCTACCTAGGAGAAAATGACGAAAAAGAATACTTATTGTATAAGTTAATTTATTTAATAACAAGAACAACAAAAAATATAATTTCGATGCAGATGTAAGCCAAACTTTTGAACACCAGCAAAGGTATATTAACAAATAAAGTACCACAGTTAAAGTGAATTGGTCCACAATAGTACATTATACATAATAAATTATTTAGTTATATAGTCACCTCTGTGTATACATGTTACAGTAGGACTTATCTATGTACATCAGCTAATTTAAGGTTCTAGGACAAAATATTATTTTGCATTATCTAAATGTTCGTACAAAGTTTTTTATCAAGTTGAACAATATAAAAAATTTCAAGAAATATGTTATTACAAATTTTCAAATGCAACATTTCTATAAATTTATTAATATGTTAAACACTTGTGGAAAATATGTCCGCTGTAGACCAATCCACATTAGATAGACAATATCGACTTTATATGACATAAAAACACGATCAAATACATAACTGATATTTATTGTTCTACTCACTAAATGTTTTGAAACAGATAATTAGCTTGTAAGAATTTTATTTGAAATACATTCAGATGAATAATAGAATTTGCTTAAAATTACTCATTTGTCATTCCGGATCATAGAATAGATATGAAATTGTGACAACAAGTGGCGTGTGAGTATACTATAGTTTATTAGTATATATTTACAATACGAACACATCTTTCTATATTACATCTAACAAAACATTGACTCATGTAATTAATTACCTTCACATTACATTTCAATAATTTGCTTCACATTACATTAGTAATGAAAACAATACATGTACCTAGAGTGAGTGATTAGAAATACAATATTAACATTATTAATTCAAAGTGATACTGTAATGCTCCCGAAAATGCCAAAATGCTAGTAGGTTTCTAAAAAAAAAAATAAAGGTATCATCTTTCAACCCTGTCACATGTTTTTGCTTCCTTTTCACTTTGCTTTCATTTTATTATAATTGAAATAGGAAATGTCTCTGATAAAGACCACTCAAAAGCTAAAACAAACATACGGTAGAATGACGGAAAAAGTAACATATTTCACAACAAAACTAAATTTGCTGTCCATACAGCCTTCAGCTTGAAATTCAATACGACATGGAACACGAAAATACACCTATGCAATTTGTACAAACAACTGCACAATTTATTAAAAAACAGATTGAAATGTTATAATCCTAACAGATTATGAAAATGATTTTGACACTGAAAGATTTTTATGTTTAATGAACATATGTGAAAGAGTATTAGTAATTCCTTATTACAATGACAGCAAGATCACGAAATAAAATTGGAATAACAAGATGAAGTTATGTATGAATATCAAGCTTTCTAAATCATTTTCATACAAATATGTTACAAATATACTAATACCTTCGGGGTTGGGGAACGGAGTTAAGGAAAGTATTCCACAAGTCATTAAACATGTATTGACCATACCCTTGCAGTCAAACATTAATATTCTTAAACTAGCTTTCAAAAGTAGAAAATCTAGTAGAACTTGCATTTGACTTAATTGAACGAGTTTTTACCAATTTGAAAACGCGATCATTAGTGACAAAAGCAAGCATGATAAAAACACCCTGGCAGGCATTTAAAATGATAAATAAATATGAAAAAACAATTACATTTGTCCATGTGTACAGAAGACCAAATATCCAAGTGACCCCTGTAATGGTTGATAGCTTTACAAATACGTTCAGATCATTGCGTTCGTTTTGAAGATGTCTTGGAATCGACGAAATTGACTTTATTTTAATGATAACATAGACAAACATAATTATGTTTGTTAAAACAACAAAGCAAGTTGGAAGTACAAACGAGTAATTGATCATTTTTTGTGACGAAATATAACAATTCCTTCCACCATATCCACTGTTGCCTAATAAGGAAAGTGATAATGTTATATTAAGTGCAACAAATAACAACGATATTACAATAGCAAAGCAATGATATCTGACAAATATTTTAAGCCAAGCCTCATTCGACATTACTCGTGTCTTAGAAAATACACGAAATAAATGAAATGTGCAGATATTCATCCAAAATATAGACAGCAACCAGCAAAAATGTAGAGCCACGCCTAATGCAAAACATACTTTAGAGTTTGTGTTAATATTTCCAAAACTACTTATTGTGTACAAAGCCTGAGCTAGCAGCATTAATAACACTAATGACATGATGTTCTTGCCAGGCAGTTTCAGTCTCAGCTCAGGTATAATGGAAAATATTATAAACGTTATTGCGAGGGAAACAATAGAAAGTGTGGAACATACAAGCGATAATATAATTGTTACGAAATTGGAATCAGATTCAGGTGATGACTCTGAAAGATGAAGTTTTAATAAAAAGTCTTCGAAATGATCCACACAAATCATTATGTAAATTGAATCTGAAAAATGAAAATCCTCGCTATTTAAATGATAGTTCCATGGCTGTAATGCAATTCCTCTTATATTTTCAATCCAATGTATTTCAGAAGAAGATAATTTAACTCTAAGGCACGGGTTTATCAACATAACATTCAGTTCCTGTTGCGTATAACGTTTACACCAATAGTTATTGTATAGTCTTGGAAACGGAAAAACCAAAAGATTTTTGAAACCGGGAAGTGTCTCTAATGCGTTGAAGTTGGCATGATTTCCGTCGAATACCCTTATTTCAAATGAATAGTTTTTGTTTGTAAGTGAAAATATGTGATTTCTTGTCATGGTGTAAAACAACTGCTTTGGATTGTGGTATGTTTCAACCATAATAACACTTTTGAAGTAGAAGAATAAGAGTTCTGAATCATTTGATTGACTAATGTTGTTATATGAAATTGTTTTTCGCAATTCCCGGTTAGATTGAAACATCATTTGAAGATAACATAAATTACCAAGGGAGGAAAACATATCTAAAATGTAGTTATAGACATTTTCGGAGATTGATACAGCTTGCAATAATTTCATTTGGTCTCTAGGTAGAACACGCAAGAAAATCAAATACTTCACGTCTATAAACTTTTCAAATATATCAACACAAGATCCAAGCGAATCATCAACCGTGATTGGACACTCCAACTTTCTGCATATCTTCTACAATAAACGACAATTAGTTTTGTAAGTAGAATAATACATATCAAATTATATTTACATAAAAATAAAAAGTAAATGAATATAACTGTCAGTTTATCAGCATAAACAATGATTAAAGTATCCAATAAGAAATAATATTATTTACATGATATCTAAAATCAAAGATCAAAACGAAATTATCGTAAATTAAAAATTAAGTTATATGTACCTTCCATATATATATTTATGCTTCTGTTCATGGACCTAATGTCATGTCATTTTGTTCTTCGTTATTTTGGGAATTCATGTAATTTTTCAATTCTGTTTCCCTTGAAATTTTCTAAAGTCATGACATTTTGCATAACTATGATGCTTTGAAAAGGATCTAAAACGTGCCATTTTTCATGACTATGCAATGAAATATTACCACATATGTGTAATGTTGGCAAGACCAGTTTGAAACATATTTTAATATATCTTATCCATTGGGAAAATTGTATATTAAGCGATATTAAATTTATGTAAAATATCAGGCAATTTGATTGTACTACGTCACATTTATTAACAAACGGTGAAAAAAAAACTCGTAACGTCCTATATTTTAAATAAACTATATTATTCATAGCGATTTACTTTTTTTAATACCCTTACAAAAATTGAATGTTGAAAGAATATTAACATAGTTATTTTACATCATATTAATCATTAGATTAAAAGAAGAAATGTATTCAAAAATTTTATACGTACCGATATTGAATCATAAATTTCATTTTCCGAGCAACGGTCATCAAAATTACCGTGAGTGTTTTCCGTTTTTATATCTTCTTGCTTCAACAAACCAGAAAAAGCAAAGTCACCTTTCGGATCTCGACCTTTGTCTAAGTCACACAGCAACTGATAATTCTTTATTCCATTGCATTCCAAACAATAGGGGTTTTGAAATTTGAGAGTACTGGTTTTCGGTTCTGGTGTCACTACAGATCTGTATAAACTACACGGATCATTATTTTGTCTGTCATGCCAAGATTTACATGTAGTTACAGCAGTGTAGCACCTGTCCAGTCTCAACCCAGTTAAGTATATAAATTCAAGATCGCATACGTTGTTGTTGAGAACTTCATTAATTATACCAGTCTCATCTTTTGGCGATTCCTCCAAATCTGACTCACATGAAAACTTTTTTTTCAAAAACTTTAATTTCACATTTGAAACATTATGACATAAAGCACAATATTTATTTCTATACAATTCACCTGCCACTAAAACCGGAGAAATATCGTCAAAAGAAGTAATATTAGTGGAATATTTTCTTGTGCAGTTTTGCACAAGATCTTCGTGCGTTCCAGCAGGACAAGTTTCATATCCAAAAGCACCATATTTGTAGTCAGTCACATTTTTCTGGGAGAGGTGAAGATGAATGCACGTTTTACGCATACCAGTTTCCGTTAGTTCTTTGAAATAGTCAAATGTTTTTTTGGTGTTGTTAGTTTCTCTACTGTTAAAAAATACAATATCTGGACAACACATGTTTTTCTTAAGACATTCGGGAAATTTGCATTTACATTTCTTACAACAACTTATCTTGTTCATAGGTAATTCTGTATCTAATGAAAATGTACAAAGCGGTGTATATGGACACGCTTTAAGTTGTTGAAATATAACCCTCCTTTGGTAGCTACTGTTAAACTCAGCAAGAAAATTTTGAGTTTCTGACTTCAGCATTACCTGATCTACTTCCTCATGTGTCAAATAAATACAGTTTACTAAATAATTGAAATTCAAAATCATAAATATGATATAAAACAAAATTTTGTTCCGCATGTTTAAATGTTCTTTGTTTACTGACTTGTCTCAACGTATCACGCCTTTACAATAATGTTGAGTAGTGTTTTCTTACTTATATATAAAATGTAAAAAATAACGAAAGCTTTTTGCATCTATGATCCTATTGTATTCAAGAAAAATATTGCCACGGCTTGGAAACTATATAGAATTATAGGTAAATGAGTTTATAAAGAAATCCGTAAGCAATTTCCATTTATGTAGATTAAATCTGTTGCTTTGATCAAGTTATAATTGTTAAATAAAAGTCAAATTTGAAACTATATTTTGCTTTATTGCTGCATTTAATTAGTTTTTGCATTTCATATATTTGTAACTGCTGGAGATGGTTAGTTCAAACAAATTATATTCCACAACACACATACAATACATGATATACAACACCATTAAAAACTGTTGAAGTATATGACAACGCACAATTTCTAAATTTTAAAGAATCCCTGTTGATTATACTAGTACACGCTGTCATGGTGTCGATTCAAAATCAAATATCTATGTGTATATCCAAATGTTTCTTAACCATTCAAACAATGATAACTAGAAATGTGTCCATAGGACACGGATGCCCCCGCACGCCACTGTTCTGTCAATCTTATGACTCTAGGTCAAATATTTTTTGGACTACATGTGCCACAAGTTGAAAACTAAAAATCAACAAAGGGCCATTATTCTGTTAAATTTGGTCGCAGCAAAAATTCCTTCCTTTACTACCATCTACACATTAAGGTTGTTAATCCCTGGAAGTTTAAGCAAAATCTGCGATCCGGTTTAAGAGGAGTTGCGTTCACAAAATTTCTACTAAGTATATAGTGAAAAAATCAACAAAGGGCCATAATTCTGTAAAATTTGGTCGCAGCAAAAATTCCTTCCTTTACAACCATCTTCACCTTAAGGTTGTTCATCCCTGTAAGTTTAAGCAAAATCTGCCATCCGGTTTAAGAGGAGTTGCGTTCACAAAATCTCTACATAGTATCTAGTGAAAAAATCAACAAAGGGCCATAATTCTGTTAAATTTGGTCGCAGCAAAAAATTCCTTCCTTTACTACCATCTACACATTAAGGTTGTTCATCCCTGTAAGTTTAAGCAAAATCTGCCATGCGGTTTAAGAGGAGTTGCATTCACAAAATTTCTACATAGTATATAGTGAAAAAATCAACAAAGGGCCATAATTCTGTTAAATTTAGTCGCAGCAAAAATTCCTTCCTTTACTACCATCTACACATTAAGGTTGTTCATCCCTGTAAGTTTAAGCAAAATCTGCCATCCGGTTTAAGAGGAGTTGCGTTCACAAAATTTCTACATAGTATATAGTGAAAAAATCAACAAAGGGCCATAATTCTTTTAAATTTGGTCGCAGCAAAAATTCCTTCCTTTACTACCATCTAAACATTAAGGTTGTTCATCCCTGTAAGTTTAAGTGAAATCTGCCATCCGGTTTAAGAGGAGTTGCGTTCACAAGATTTCGGGACGTACGGACGGACGGACTGACGGACGGACTGACGGACGGACGGAAAAGTGCAACGCTATATGCTCCTACATTGTGGGGGCATAAAAATGTAAGTTACTTATAAATCTAGGGATATCATAAATATAGAGACAAATTTACTAAAAAAATCTGGAAACAAAGTGATCCCTCGGAAGCATTAATAACAACAAAATTAAAAGAGAATTGCAGATTCGGTTTGATTGAGACTGTACATGAGGAATATTGAATAAGTGCAACATCCCTCACGCCCCCTAGCACCGGCTTGAGCGGTACTCAATTCTCAACACTTAATAGTGCTGGCATCAATGATCCCGCAGGACCAGAAAAATATAACAACACTGAAGTGAAGACTAAGACTTCTTTTGGAGATAACACGTTTAACGCGATTATAGGCAACAGTGTAACAACGCTCAAATTGATAAATCTATTTTATTTATTTCTGCAGAAATAACGGTCTCATTTTCTTCCATCAATTTGGATTCCGTTCCGAAAAATACATAAAAAACGGGGGTATTATTATTGTATTGTATTTATTATAGATAGTGTCAAACGAAAATTATATTCTATTATGATTACATGTCTTTTTCTTATCTAAAAAAAATATTAAATTGCGTTGCATATAGTCATATGAAATAATGACTAAAACATCAGCTGAAAAAAAAAAACAGTGATGAAATAAATTTGTAAATAATAAAGATTATTTTTTCAAGTTCGTTGGATAAATTTAAAGTGAGTATACTAAAAAAACCCGTAATGTATAGACAATAAAATTATGATTTATGCCGCGCTCGTGGACATTCGAAAATATAAAAAAATGACACTTTCATAAGAAAAGTGGAAATTTCTATTTTAGAATAATTGTACACATAATATCAAAACGACTGTTCAAAATATAATAATATTATTTCCAAACAAGTAAAGACATTACATTACATTTATACGACATAAAGGCGTTAAAATAAAAGAAAGACTTTAAATTATGTTATATATCAAACCGGAAAATTGTTTGATTGTGTAAAGACTAACGTCAGTGTTAGCTAACAAATTGGCATTTATCGCTTACCAAAACGTAATTATAGCAATATTTTGCTGATAAAATAGCCAAGTAATAAAGACATAAAAGTGAATGGGAAAACTATCTCTTTACGGGAGACCGCCTCCGTGGTCGAGGGGTTAGAGTCGATTACTTCTAATCCAGTTTCTCCTCTGACGTGGGTTCGATCCCCGGGACATGCATTGATAGTTAATCAATGAGGAATGTAGTCTAGTACTGTTGTAACTCTCCATGAACGATGGTTAGGAAACTACCCGCCTATATGACTGAAATACTGTTGGGAAAAGGCGTAAAATGAAACGAGAAAACTAGAAACAATATAACATAGAGAAAATCAGAATCCCTAAAGAAAGCCCAACACGGCAAAATTGTAAAATGTTGCAGGCTCGGTTTGATTGAGCCTGTTCATGGGCGGTACTGGAAAAGTGCGAGTTACCTTCCACGCCCCCTACCACCGGCTTAAGCAGAATTCAACATTTAAACACAAAAACATCTTCAAATGTGTTCATACGGCGGTTATCACGGAACCTTCAATGTGACACAGTAGTGTCATTCAATGAAAAGCGCCGTATGGTCCCCAAATAAAAGAATGTGTGTGCCCTAAACGAGAAAACAATGGACGGAACTATATAAAATGGAATTTTGAAAGGGGATCTGAGGTTATGAAGCCTGCATATCACAGACAAGACGTCAAAAGACAAATTTAAAAAGCAGGCAACATTCCTAAGGGTGATTATACCGTATTAAGAAAGAAATACTGGAACCACCAATGTTGAAATAGGCCAAATACAGGAAACTAAAAATACCATCTAAAATGCATACACAACAATAATGTCGTGCTGAACGATCTTCAAGGATCGAAAATATTACATCATTGATTAAATTTACGGGGAGACATTTTACAGCCGCCACACGGCACAAATAACACGGATGTGACATAAAATAGAGAAAATCAGAATCCCTAAAGAAAGCCAAATACTTAAAAAATATGCAAAGCATGCTTGATATTATAAAGAGGTCTTGAATTTTTACTGATAACTAGGAACTTATCTATACACTTTAAAAGTTTAATTTGAATCCGAACATAAAAAAAATTTCAAGTCAAGTTAATTTTACATGAACATTTTTGAAACGTATTAGTTTATTGATCGTTCTTGATTATGTTATTGATGATAGCATATTGTTTTCTCTAATTTCATTACAATGTTTATACAATTCTTATACAATTGTTCTTTCGTAACAATGCCATTCAGTGTAAATAAGATGAATGTTTCATTCAGTGTAATTTGATCGGTAATATAGTAATAAAATAATATTGTACAGGTTATAGAAAACATTTAACTCGATTAATTATTCTCAGAGAGTACTGTTCATGCATAATTTGTAAAATATATCTCGAATGACTTATTACTATATTGACACATTATACGTTAAGCTCATTTATTAAGATACCCTTACAAAATAGAGAAAAATAAACTTTACTAAAAAATAAGACTCTATAACGACAAAGTATTAGTAATAGTTAAATAGTGAAAAACAGAATCCCTAAAGAAAGCCCAACACGGCAAAATTGTAAAATGTTGCAGGCTCGGTTTGATTGAGTCTGTTCATGGACGGTACTGAAACCTGACTACTATGGAGATGTGGTTTACAAACTTCGTAGGATCATGGGTCATAGTAATTTTTCTGTCGTCTTCACTACAATTATCAAACGGTTTATTAAAAGAGGTTATGACCCAATTATTTTAAGGAATACCGCATGATTGGTGTTCAACCCTTTTACAGTTGGACGCTACGATTTCCTCTTTTGATTACATCTGACGGACCAAGTGGGAGACTATGATGGACAGTTCTTAAAGCCCTTTGGGACTGAATTGTCTTAATGTTCGTCTTCTGCCTTGCTTCGTCGGGCCTTTGTAGGTGATTTTCTTGTTGCTCTGCCTTCCTTTAAGGCATCGAGTACTTTGGTAATTAGGCTGTAACTTTTTCTACATATTTACATAATTTACATATTTACATAATGTGGGGGTTGCGTTCATTGAACGCCGCCTTTCCTTGTTGATCTTGTTTATCATATTTTATTTATTCCGTCTAATGTAACCATGACCATTGTTAGAATTTCACTTGGCGGGGATCAATTTTATATACATTTTCGTGTCATTCAGGAGCATATACGGGCTGAGAGTGAGGTTTGGTGCGCCTAAAACCGGTTTAAACTCCCCAGTGGTTTATCTACCACTGACCGTTCCAAGGCGGTACCCCTTTGTGTTCCTTCACGTGTTTTTCTTGTCTGTATTGTTGCTTGTTATGCTCCCCGAAAAATTTCGGGGGAGCATATAGTCGTCGGTTTGTCCGTCCGTCCGTCAGTCCGTCCGTACGTACGTACGTCCCGAATTCGTGTCCGGCCCATAACTTTGTTATTTGAAGTCGGATTTTAAAGCTATTTCACAGAAAT